CTGTGTGCCTTGACTGATATACACCTGAACATCAGCAGGAGAGGACTCTTTAAAGTAGAGACACTACATACTGATATACACCTGAACATCAGCAGGAGAGGACTCTTTAAAGTAGAGACACTACATACTGATATACACCTGAAAATGAGCAGAATACTGAAGCGCTCTTTAGTGCACCAGTCATTCCTCAAATTAAATACAGACTTTAAACCCAAATCAATGTTATGTTAAATGTCTGTTTCCTTGTTTCTTGTCTTAATGTTTGTCTCCTGTTGAAGTTGCAAATGGAGCTGCTGTGAAGCGTGCAAGACTCGACCTGACAACAAAGTATAATCACACTGTTTCATATTCAATTATTTAACAGTGTTTGCCTGTTTCCTATCTCAGTAAATGGGACCTACTTTGTTTGAAGAAAACCTTTGTTGACATTGTTCATTGTAGTCTGACATTTTGTGGACTATACAGTTGACTTATATAATATAATCTGCAGGTTAACATTTGAATAAATAGACATTAGCTGCAGCTTCATAGCATCTAATATCAGTGTGTGTTTCAACCTGAGGCAAAAAACGGATTCATGTCTCTGTGTTCAGGAAGGAGGTCAGAGGTCGTTGCTCGCTGACAGCAGAGGAACATGTGAGGCTGGAGAAATGAAGAAGAAGATGAAGATGGACGAGGACGAAGAGGAGCAGCTCCCTGTTGTTGTTTCCTGTAACACTGAGTGTCTCTGACAGCGCTGTCAGTCTGAATCTCCTCAGGTTCACCTGCTCCCCTAAATACACTCAGGATCATGTTCACATCAGACTCCGAGAAAACCCTTTGTCTGCTATACAATAGTCTTTACTCACTGATTATTACCAGACTGCTTCTTTTAAAGGAAAGTTGAGCTGACAGTTTTCGTAAGTCAGCAAAAAGAAGGAATGAAGAAGTGTTTTGAATGTCTCGGAGGTGACAGCTTTAATTTCTTTGTTTTGTCCAAAAACAAATAACACATTTAAGGTAATTAACCCTTAGATGCATAAGTGGGTCTTTTTGGACCCGGTGAGGTGGTTTTCTTGAAGTATCTTTGTAATTACATTTTTTTATCATTTCATATTCCAGCTATTCCTCAAAAAGCATGTTTTGGATATCATGCCATTAACATTTTAAATTTAAATTTTAAGAAATTGTAGTTTTTGTATTTCTACCCCAAGCTTCCATAAGTGGGTCAAAAATGACCCGCATGCCGGAAATTCGTTTTTTTTTTTAAAATGTAAAAAAAATGTCTAAAATTATAAATAGTGAAAAATTAAATATAAAATATTTCTAGTGTGAACCAAAATATAATACTAAATATTATACAAGTGATTTTTCTTAACCAAAATGACAAAAATGGCATAAAA